GCTGAGAAGAATGTATATTCTGTGGATTTGGGGTGGAGAGTTCTGTAAATGTCTATCAGGTTTGCTTGTTCCAGGTCTGAGTTCAAGTCCTGGATATTGTTGTTAATTTTCTATCTGGTTGATCTGTCTAATATTGACAGTGGAGTGTTAAAGTCTGCCAATATTATTGTGTGGGAGTCTAAGTCTCTTAGTAAGTCATTAAGAACTTGCCTTATATATCTGGGTGCTCCTGTATTGGGTCCATATATATTTAGGATCGTTAGCTCTTCTTGTTGTATCAATCCTTTTACCATTATGTAATGTCCTTCTTTGTTTTTTTTTATCTTTGTTGCTTTAAAGTCTATTTTATCAGAGATGAGAATTGCAACTCCTGCTTCTTTTTGCTCTCAATTTGCTTGGTAAATCTTCCTCCATCCCTTTATTTTGAGCCTTTGTGTATCCTTGACTGTGAGATGGGTTTCTTGGATACAGCACACAGATGGGTTTTGGCTTTTTATCCAATTTGCTAGTCTGTGTCTTTTGATTGGTGCATTTAGCCCATTTACATTTAGGGTTAATATTGTTATGTGTGAATTTGATACTGCCATTTCGATGCTAGCTGCCTGTTTTGCCCGTTAGCTGATGCACATTCTTCATTTTGTTGATGCTGTTTAGCATTTGGTATGTTTTTGGAATGGCTGGTACTGGTTGTTCCTTTCTATGTGTAGTGCCTCTTTCAGGAGCTCTTGTAAAGCAGGCTTGGTGGTGACAAAATCTCTGAGTACTTGCTTCTTTGTGAAGGATTTTATTTTTCCTTCACTTATCAAGCTCATTTTGGCTGCATATGAAATTCTGGGTTGAAAGTTGTTTTTTTTAAGGATGTGGAATATTGGCCCCCATTCTCTTCTGGCTGGTAGGGTTTCTGCCAAAAGGTCTGCTGTAAGTCTGATGGGTTTCCCTTTGTGGGTGACCCAGCCTTTCTCTCTGGCTGCCCTTAGTATTTTCTTCTTCATTTCAACCCTGGTGAATCTGATGATTATGTGCCTTGGGGTCGCTCTTCTTGAGGAATATCTTTGTGGTGTTCTCTGTATTTCCTGGACTTGAATATTGGCCTGCCTTGCTAGGTTGCGGAAATTATCCTGGATAATATCCTGAAGAGTATTTTCCAGCTTGGATTCATTTGTTTCATCACATTCAGGTAAACCTGTCAAACATAGATTAGGTCTCTTCACATAGTCCCACATTTCTTAGAGACTTTGTTCATTTCTTTTTGCGCTTTTTTCTTTAATCTTGGCTCCTCATTTTATTTCATTGAGTTGATCTTCGACTTCTAATATCCTTTCTTCTGCTTGGTCAATTCGGCTGTTGAAACTTGTGCATGCTTTGCGAAGTTCTCCTGTTGTGTTTTTCAGCTCCATCAATTCACTCATATTTCTCTCTAAGGTGTCCATTCTTGTTATCATTGCCTCAAATCTTTTTTCAAGGTTCTTAGTTTCTTTGCATTGATTTAGAACATATTCTTTTAGCTCACGGAAGTTTCTCATTACCCACCTTCTGAAGTCTGATTCCATCATTTCATCACACTCATTCTTTGTCCAGGTTTGTTCCCTTGCTGCTGAGGAGTTTTGGTTTTTTGTAGGAGGCGAGGTGTTCTGGTTTCGGGTGTTTTCCTTCTATTTGTGCTAGTTTCTTCCCATCTTTTTGGATTTATCCACCTGTCATCTGAGTGGTTGCTGATTTTCTGATTGGGTCTCTGAGTGGACATCCAGATTGTTGATGATGAAGTATTTCTGTTTCTTAGTTTTGCTTTTAACAGTCTGGCCCCACTGCTGTAGGACTGCTGAGCAAGGCCCTGGTTGCCTGGGGAACTCCTGTAGCAGCTGCACAACCATGAGGGTTGCTACCAGATTCTTGTTCTGCTATCTTTGTCCCGGAATGATGCCCATCAAATGTCAGTTGGATCAGTTTTTTGTTAGGTGACTCTTTGTATATATGGGGGTCAGGAAGCTACTCGAGGGGACTGTACTTTATAGGAGCTCAAGTGCTGAGCTGCGAACTTCGTTGTTCATTCAGGGCTGCTAGGCAGGTACGTTTAAGTCTGCTGCAGGAGAACTCATAAAGCTCCTTTTTTTCCTCAGGTGCTCTGTCCTGGGGAGTTAGGGCTCCATTTATTAGTATCTGTTGCACTGTCCTGCCCAGCAAGGGGGCAGTCTAATCACTGATTGCCTGCAGTGGCTATGCTGAGCTGTGTGGGCTCCTCCCTGTTGCCGTGGGCTCTGCTTTGTTGCTGTGGGCTCCGCCCTGCTACCATGGGCTCTGCCCTGCTGTCATGGGCTCCGCCCTGTTGCTTTGGGCTCCGCCCTGCTGCCATATGTAATTCCCTGTAGTCCTGTTTATATTGGTGTGCTCGCCTCTGTAGTGGTGGACTCTCTCTTATTGCGGGTTGCCCTGGCAATGGGGGGTTGCCTTGGCAACTGTGACAGTGTAGCTCCATAGGGGTCAAGTGCCTCGGTAATGGCGGACACTTCTCCCCCTTCGAGCTGCACTGTCCTGGGTTCCGCTGTGCTTGCCATGGAACTCTCAACCCCGAGCATTTCCAATTGCTGTTTTGTTTGTTTTTGTAGGGGTGGGACCCACCGAGCCTGGCTCCCTGCCTCAGAGCCCCGTTTTTTTTTTTTAAGTTGAGCAGTTGACTCTCTCCCAGGTGTTCCAGTTGCCTGCTGCAAGGGCACCGGGATCTGTGTGATTTCCTGTGCAGCAACCCACTGCACCGGCTCAAACCACATTGCTGCCCAGGAATCTCCTGGGCTGGCTTTCTGTTTAAGTCCCGTTGAATCAGATGAATGTGCTAATCTACCTTTCAAAATCTCCAATTGCCAGTTTAACAGGGCAACCAAACCAGGGTATTTTGTACGGAGTGTCGCTGCGCTGCGGCCTTGGCCCAAACAGCCACGCCAGCCCAAACAGCCACCCTGGCCCAAACTGCCACGTGGCCCGCGGGGCTCTTATACCTGGGAATCTCCTAGTCTGTGGACAATAAAGATCTGTATGGAAATGCAGCGTCTACTCACCCTCTGCGGATTGACTGGGAGCTGCAATCCTGAGTTGGTCCTACAGCACCATCTTCCTCTCCCTCTCTTTCTTTCAAACTGGAGAACAAAAATGTAAAGTTAAATTAAAAATTGATGAAGAGAAACTCTTAAAAAAGGAATATTAGAGCAACAAAAATTTTAGTATATTGTAAATTGTGAATTAATGAGGATTTTAACTACTACTTTCAACAATAGAATAGAAAATGCTTTTATGCTGTTTTAAAGAGTTGGTCATCAGGAAAGAAAACAAGTTCAAATGGTACTTGCTGAATTTTAATAATTCTTTTCAAAGTCATTATTACTATAATGTTTTAAATGACATTCATTTGATCATATACTCATATTTTTATGACCTATATCATTTACTGTAGTTATTTATTTAGGACTTTTTAGGTAATATCATCTAAAAAGAATCAGGCTCATGAAATTTAGGGACCTACAGGAGTACTGAAAAATTGTAATGTTAATGAAATTGTCTGCCTCTGCCACCTCATTCCCTTCTTGTTTTTTATCCTGCCTGCTATAATATCCTTGGTACTTTTTTTTTTTACTCATCTGGATTCCTTTCTTCTATAAAAATCTGAATTTAGTGAAGAATGACTTGAATCATTTATGTTTTCCTTCACTGTAGGAATAATTTGCATTTAATCTCTATCAAAAGTGAGGATTTTCTTTTCTTTATTTTTTTTCTTTTTGAAATGGAGTCTCACTCTGTCACCCAGGCTGGAGTGCAGTGGTGCAATCTCTGCTCACTGCAACCTCTGCCTCCCGGGTTCAAGCGATTCTCCTGCCTCAGTCTCCCGAGTAGATGGGACTACAGGTTCACACCACCACTCCTGGCTAATTTTTTGTATTATAGTAGAGACTGGGTTTCACCGTTGCCCAGATTGATCTCAAACTCCTGAGCTCAAGCAGTCTGCCTGCTTTGGCTTCCCAAAGTGCTAGGATTACAGATGTGAGCCCCCATGCCTGACCAAAACTGAGGATTTTCAAATGTCACTGAACATGAGGTAGAATATCAGGGGGCCTATGGGCCTTTTTTGTATGCCTAAAATAAATTTATAATGAATATGTGTATGCCATATCTGTTTATTTAACAAAGTATTTACAGCAATGTGGAAAGGAGAAAACATTTGCCTTAGAAAAGTAGAATTCAGAATTCCTGGCTGTTGGTATAGATTTCAACCGAACTTATTTATACATCAAATAGATGTGACCATATGTTTGTATATCTATATAGTAAGCCAAGTGGCAATAAAATAAGAGGAAAACCTAACACCATTAACACTTAACAGTAGCCATGTGCAATAATAAATGTGTTAATATAATAGTATCTTTACTTACGAAAGAATGCGCAGAAGGTATAGATGATTTCAGTTAGCTGTTGCAACATGTTATTGTGAATAGTTGTAAGCAATAAATTTGCATCTCTTTAAGTATATTCCATGGTTTAGACTTTTAATTTATGTGGTTTTCCTATTGCTGCTTGGTAAATGAGGAATTCCTCTATGTTGAAAAGAGAATCTCAGTTTACATATACGCTTGGGAAGATCATTCTGTTTGATTCAGAATGATTGAGAAAATCTTTCCATTTTAATGGTGAACAGCAGACCTGCAATTCTATACTATTATAAATATAGCTTAACATAACAATGCCATAATGCTTACCTTAAAATGCTTCAAACTAAGTGAGATGTAATGGGAAAATGTATTAAGCTGTGATTTTTACTTTAAAAAAAATAGCTTATAAGCATACACAAAATTCCAAAACAGAAATGGTATATAGTTTTTTCTACCCATTCCTATCTCCAGCTGCCCAATTCCCTTCCTTCTTTACATCCATTGCTCTTTCTTGAGTATCTTGCAGAGGTAGCCTGTGCATTCCATTTATTTCTAATATTAATTATTTCAATTATTTATTTACTTTAGATGACTCCAGAATTGATGATAAAAGCATGTAGCTTTTATACTGGACATTTAGTAAAGACTCATTTTTGGTAAGAACATGATTTTTATAAGCGGTTTCTTCCTCTTTGTGTTTTTATTCTTGATGTTTTTCAGACAATGAAAAATTAACTTTTGGCCTGTTGTGCTGATTTTATCTATTTAATCATGATCCTACCATTTGATGTTGTATATTTCTTTCCTATTTAGCCAGCTTTACTTAGTTAAAATATATATTTTCTTCTTTGATGTATAACTATCTTTTCCTAAAAATTAAAATTTAAAAGTATAGTTTCACAATTTACTTATCTGAAACCCTTGGAGCCAAATATGTTTTGGAATTTAGAATTCCTTTTAAACAAGACATCATTTGGTGGTTCTTATGGTAAATTGGAGTTCTGACAACATGATTTCTTTATTTTATCCAAAAAGAAATATGACTGTCTTATAATTTCCATTTTTCTCTATAACTATTAGGAATTCCTCAGGTCATACCCAATTTGTAGACGTTTCTTTCTATGCTGTGGCTTTTGAGATCATAAAGGAGGTATCATTTTTTATTCCTCTTAATTTATTTACTGATATATTGCCCTAATATCAAAATTTTTTTTAATGTTTTCTGCCTGTAGCACTTGGAGAGACATCACTCATAAAAATGAAAATGTTGCCCTGGCTGATAAAATGAACAGAGCAGTGACATGTTATGATTTCAGACTTCAAAAATCTGTATTTCATCACTGGCACTCTTATATGGAAGACCAGAAAGAAAAACTTAAAAGTAAATCCTTACATAGCAACAATTACTTTTTGTATCCATTTATTGAAATAATTAAAATACAGTTAGGCATAGTTTGTATACTTAGAGAACCTATCATTTTTATGTCTAGAGAATTGTCATGAAATGAAGGTAGAACTACTAATTTAAAAATGCTTAAATGAGATTTGTCTCAAAGAATTTTATTTTAATAGAAAACAGGCATATTAAAAATTAAATCTAGTGTGCATTTGTGAATACATGAATATAAATAGAATCTACTATGAGCTTTTTTACATAATAGCTGGATGGGTCCAAATAGTCCATACCAAATAGTATGGACAGGTAGCAGAATTGAGAGGTTTATTTTTATGGAGAGGTTTATGCTTTTTACAAATATTACACTTAATGTATATATGAGGAAACTTAAAAATAAAAATCATTTTCTCTTAAGACCATGGGGGTTATACTGAGTGAGTGGGAGGTACATTCATGTGATCAGTGCCCAATCAGTATAATCTCCAAGAACTCCTGTCTTTCGCTTAGATTTTTTTTTATTTCAGCTCTCCGGATAATAACTTGTTTATGGCTGTTGCAAACCAGAGAATCATTTCTTTTTGGCTGGCTGTGGTTGGTACCTCAGTCAGAGTGGACCCTCTGAAGATTTTAACATTAGTGTAACAAAGGTTAGGAACTGGTTAATGGTAGGACATAAAATTAAATTCAAAGGCATTGGATCTAAATGCCACCTTATGACGGTATTTCTTATGAAAAAGTTTAGAAGTTCTGGTTTTATAGAGAACAACCTTGTTAAAAAAAAAAGAAATGATACATGTCTTGACATTTCTATTGCAGCTATTACATCTTAATTTCTAAGGGCAAAGGTGATTTTCCATGTTAATAAGGTCTGGAGAGTACTAATGCTATCAAAAGTAATTAATTTCAAGTGTAAATAAAACCAGACAAAAATGATCAGATGCAACATTGGCTCATATTATAAACATTACAGAATATTAAATCACTTTGTATTTTTTTGAAATAGCTATAACTATTAATATATACAGTAATCTAGTAAATTTCCTTCAGATATGGTATTACGGATACAACGGATCATCTATTGTCACAAGCTAACCATTATTCTAACAAAATGGCGTAATAAAGCAAGATGTAAGAATAAAAAGAAAGAAGATGAGCTGGTATTGTATATTGAAACAATTTTTTAAGAATCTGAATTTTTCAGTTATATTCATGTAGCCTCAAATAATAATGCTGTGTGTGGAAAATACTAAAAGCCTGAATATAATGTACTTTTGATGGGATTCTTGTTCCTTTTTTTTTTTTTTGAGACAGAGTTTCACTCTTGTCGTCCAGGCTGGAGTACAATGGTGCGATCTCAGCTCACTGCAACCACCACTTCCCAGATTCAAGCAATTCTTCTACTTCAGCCTCCTGAGTAGCTGGGATTACAGGCACCCACCATCACACCCAACTAATTTTTTTGTAATTTTAGTAGAGTTGAGGTTTCACCATGTTGGCCAGGCTGGTCTTGAACTCCTGACCTCAGGTGATCCACCCACCTTGGCTTCCCATAGTGCTGGGTTATTAGGCACAAGCCACTGCGTCTGGCTAGGATTCTTGTTCTTTAACTTAATAATTTAAAATTTACTTCAGCTATTAGTGTATCATTACTTAATATTGGTTCAGTATGCTCAAAGTAACACTACAGTCAGATGTGGAAACACACTGGTTTTTTTTGTAGTTATGTTTCTTAATAGGCAATATTTTATAAATATTTTTGAAATATAAAGTAAGGGTAAATAGCAAAGAGAATGTGAGGTGAAGTTAAACCCCCTTCTTTTGTGGTTGCCCCATGGATCAATGCCCCCAGTTACCTGAATTTAGTTCAGATGTTGAGACTGACAATAGCACACATACACAGCAAAAAAGTATGAGATTTATTACTTACATATGCTTAATACAATGCTAGAGCCCACACTGTGCTTTAAGCATCTCAGAGGTTACTTGAGATGCTCTTTAGAAGTTTGTAATCTATGGGTTTTGAGCTGGTGGTTTTATAGACTGTCCTCTAGGCTTTGCCTTATGCGAACTACCTTTTCAATGTTGCCAGTGAAACAGTTAACACTTTGGGTACCTAACATTATGTTAGTCTGCTCGTTCAATGCTTTCTACCACTTTGTATATTAGATTAGTGTTTTGATCACTGCCCTCTATGCCTGATCACTGATTCTCTAGTAGTGAAATAGGTAACTGCATGACCAGTCTGCCCCTGTACATCTCCTTCAGCTAAATATCCCTGAATACAAAAATTATCTGGGCGTGGTGACAGGCACCTGTATTCCCAGCTACTTGGAGCCTGAGTCAGGAGACTTGCTTGAACCCTTGAGGTGGAGGTTGCAGTGAGCTGAGATCACACCACTGCACTCCAGCCTGGGCAACAAAAGCGAAACTCTGTCTCAAAAAAAAAAAAAAAAAAAATCCCTGAGAGCAGACAGTATTCTTAGTCTTCCCATATGGTGAGCATAATGTTTTGCACACAGTAGTTGATATATATACTCTAATAATATCTTTAATATATATGTATTATACAGTTAATTTGGTGTTTAGAGAATATTTTCCTTCTAGGTACATGATTTATGTACCTAACAATTATTCTACATTCACTTAAGTGGAGAGAGGATAGCAGGTGTATGCTGGGAGCAGAGGCAGGGAACAACGGTGTGTCAAGTGATCCACCTGTGTTTTTCCTCAAACTCTAATATGTGTGTGTATATACACAGCACACATATGTCTACACATTTGCACACACACACACATATACACACGTAAATATTACATCAATATTGTGTGTACATGTTTATGACTGAAATACTACCCTTATTTATTACACAGTTTTCAGAAGCATATCAGAAGTTAAAATGGGGTCTTCCTGTGACAATAAATTTGGCAATTTCCCAAATACATTACTTCTGTTTTTTTCTTTTTTTGTTATCTGTATGTCAGTCACCTTCACTTCATGTACCAAATGCCAGCTTTTTAATTGCCAGAGCCTTGACTTTGTTGGTGTCACTTTCTCATCTATGAAAGAGGAGACTAAATCAGCCTTTCAAGTAACTGCCTGTGCCAGTGTTTTATGAAAACTAATGCAACTGATCTGTAATACTTTGGTGGTTCAGAGAACATTGAACATGCTTCTGAAAAATTACAGTTTATGTGGTAATGATGATGATCATAAATAATGTCTAATTGGTGCTATCCTTGTGTCAAGCACTGTGCTTTATGTCTGTCATCTCTTTTGACCCTTATAGCAATTCCATGCAATTTTTAAATTATTTTCATTGCAGATGTCGAAACATGAGCTTCAATTGAAAAAATGGAGAAATAGGTTACTACTCAAAGGAGCTTCTGCAGAAAAATCCAATTTTCCCGAACAAAGTTCTTCTGAAGTGTGTCTTGTAGATGAGACTCTAGAATGTGACATTTCACAGTTACCTGAAAGAGCAATATTACAGGTTTGTATGAATTCAGTATACATTATATACTATAATCCTACTCTTGATGTATTGCATTGAGTTAGAATAAGGATATTTTTGCCCATTATTTCTTCCTTTACAAATTACCTGCTCTTATCTTGTCTGTTTTTACATTGTACTTCCTATAACTTCCTTACTGGTTTGTAGTAGCTCTTTGTATTGGCAATATTAGCCCTCTGGAATATATTTGGAGATTTTTTTCCCCTATGCTTGATGTTTGCTTTTAGTTTTGCTTGTGGAGTCTTTTGATGATAGATTTTTTTTTTTTTCCTGAGACCGAGTTTCACTCTTCTTGCCCAGGCTGGAGTGCCATGGTGCAGTCTCTGCTCACCACAACTTCTTCCCCAGTTCAAGCGGTTCACCTGCCTCAGCTTCACAAGTAGCTGAGGTTACAGGTGCTCGCCACCACGCCTGGCTAATTTTTTGTAATTTTAATAGAGACTGGATTTCACCATGCTGGGCAGGCTGGTCTTGAACTCCTGACCTCAGGTTATCTACCCGCCTCAGCCTCCCAAAGTGCTGGGATTATATGCATGAGCCACCATACCTGGCCGATCACAGAAATTGTAAAGCTTTGTGTAATAGTTTGTCATTCTTGCCCTAATTATTTCTCTCTCTATTTTTTAACTTTAATTTTAGGTTCAGGGAGTACATGTGCAGATTTGTTACACATAGGTAAATTATGTGTCATAGGGGTTTTGTTGTACAGATTATTTTGTCATCCAGGTAATAAACCAAGTATCCAATAGACACTTTTCTGATTCTCACCATCCTCCTACCCTCCACCCTCAAGTAGATCCTAGTGTCTGTTGTTCCTTTCTTTGTGTCCATGTGTACTTAACAGTTTAGCTCCCACTTGTAAGCATGAATATGCAGTATTTGGTTTTCTGTTCCTATGTTAGTTTCATTAGGATAATGGTCCATCTAATTTGCTGCAAAGGACATGATCTCACTCTTTTTTATGGCTGCATAGTATTTCAGAGTGTGTGTGTGTGTGTGTGTGTGTGTGTATACATATACATATATACATACACCACATTTTAAAAAATCCAGTCCACCATTGATGGGCATTTAGGTTGATTTCATGGCTTTGCTATTGTGAATAGTGCTGTGATACGTATATGCATGCATTGTCTTTGTGGTAGAACGATTGATATTCCTTTGGGCGTATACCCAATAATGAGATTGTTGGGTTGAATGGCAATTCTATTTTATGTTCTTTGAGAAATTGTCAAACTGCTTTTCACAATGGCTGAGCTAATTTATGTTTCCACCAGCAGTGTGTAAGCATTCCCTTTTCTCTCCAACCTTGCCAGTAACTGTTGTTTCCTGACTTTTTAGTAATAGCTACTCTAACTGGTGTGAGATGGTATCTCATTGTGGTTTTAATTTATATTCCTCTAATGATTAGTGATGTTGAGCATTTTTTTGCATGCTTATTGGTTGCATGTATGTCTTTTTTGATAAGTGTTTGTTTATGTGCTTTGCCTACTCTTGTAATGGTATTCTTTGTTTTTTTCTTGTAAATTTGTTTAAGATCCTTATAGATTCTGGATATTAGACTTCTGCTGGATGTGTAGTTCCTAATTTTCTTTTTACAATTCTGTAGATTGTCTGTTTACTCTGTTGATAGTTTCTTTTGTTGGTAGACGCTCTTTTGTTTAATGAGGTCCCATTTATCAATTTTTGTTTTTGTTGCAGTTGCTTTTGGCATCTTCATTATGAAATTTTTGCCAAGTCCTGTGCCCAGAATGGTATTTTCTTGGTTATCTTCCAGGGTTGTTGTAGTTTTAAGTTTTAAGCTTAAGTTTTTGATCTATTTTTAGTTGACTTTTATATATGGTGTAAGGAAGGGGTCCAGTTTCAATATTCTGCATATGGTTTGCCAGTTATTAGAGTATCATTTATTGAATGAAGAGTTATTTCCCTGTTTCTTGTTTTCCTTGATTGTATAGATGTGTGGCATTATTTTTGGGCTCTTTATTCTGTTCCATTGGTCTATATGTCTACTTTTCTACCAGAACCATGTTGTTTTGGTTACCATAGCCTTATAGCATAGTTTTAGTTGGGTAATGTGATGACTCCAGCTTTTTTATTTTCACTTAGAATTTTTTTTTTTTTTTTTTAGAGACAGAGTCTCACTCTGTTGCCCAGGCTGGAGGCAGTGGTATGATTTTGGCTCACTGCAACCTCTGCCTCTCGGGTTCAAGTACTTCTCCTGCCTCAGCCACCTGAGTAGCTGGGATTACAGGTGTATACCACCACTGGCTCATTTTTGTATTTTTAGTAAAGATGAGGTTTTACCATGTTGGCTAGGCTGGTCGTGAACTCCTGACCTCAGGTGATCTACCCACCTCGGCCTCCCAAAGTGCTGGGATTATAGGCATGAGCCACAACGCATGGCCTGCTTAGGATTACCTTGGGTATTTGGCCCCTTTTTTGGTTCCATATTAATTTTAAAATATTTTTTTCTAATTCTGTGAAAAATGTCATTGGTAGTTTGACAGGAATAGCATTGAATCTGTAAATTGCTTGGGCAGTATGGCCATTTTAACAATATTGATTTTCCTATCCATGAGCATGGATTGTTTTTCCATTTGTTTGTGTCATCTCTGTTTTTTTCTTTCAGTGTTTTGTAAATCTTTTTGTAGAGGTCTTTCACCTCCTTGGTTAGCTATATTTCTATTTATTTTCTTCTTTTCTGTAGCTCTTGTGGATGAGACTGCATTCTTATTTGGCTCTCAGCTTGGATGTTCTTGGTGTATAGGAATGCTACTGATTTTTGTATATTGATTTTTTTTTTTTGAGACAGAGCCTCACTCTGTTACCCAGGCTGGAGGGTAGTGGTGTGACTCTGGATTACTGCAACCTTTACTTTCTGGGTTCAAGCGATTCTCATGCCTCAACCAGCCAGATAGTTGGAATTCAGGTATGGGCTACCAAACCCAACTGTGGTTTGTTTTTTGTTTTTTTTGGAGATGGAGTCTTGCTCTGTCGCCAGGCTGAAGTGCAGTGGCGCAATCTCAGCTCACTGCAACCTCCGCTTCCTGGGTTCAAGCAATTCTTCCACCTCAGCCTCCTGAGTAGCTGGGACCACAGGAACGTGCCACCATGCCCGGCTATTTTTTGTGTTTTTAGTAGAGACGGAGTTTTGCTATGTTGGCCAGGCTGGTCTCAAACTCCTGGCCTCAAGTGATCCACCTGCCTCAGTCTCCCAAAGTGCTGGAATTACTGGCATGAGCCACTGTGCATGTACAGTGATTTTGTATACTGAAACTTTGTTGAAGTTATTTATCAGATCAAGGAGCTTTTGGGCAGAGACTACGGGGTTTTCTAGGTATAGAATCATATTGTCTACAAACAGCGAGTTTGACTTTCTCTCTTCCTATTTGAGTACCTTTTATTTCTTTCTATTGCCTAATTTCTCTGGCTAGGACTTCCAGTACTATGTTGAATAGGAGCGGTGAGAGAGGGCATCCTTGTCTTGTTCTGATTTTCAAGGGGAATGCCTTCAGCTTTTGCCCATTCAGTAGGCTATTGGCTCAGGCCTGTAATCCCAGCACTTTAGAGGGCCAAGGCTGGCGGATTAGCTAAGGTTAGAAGTTTGAGAACAGCCTGGCCAACATAGTAAAACCCTATCTCTACTAAATTAAAAAAAAATAGCCAGGTGTGGTGGTACACACCTGTAATTCCAGCTACTTGGTAGGCTGAGGCACGAGAATCACTTGGACCCAGGAGGTGGAGGTTGCAGTGAGCTGAAATTGTGCCACTCCATTCCAGTCTGGGCCACAGAGTGAGACTCTATCTCAACAAACAAAAAATGGCTGGGTATGGTGGCTCACACTTGTAATTCTAGCACTTTGGGAGGGCAAGGCGGATGGATCACAAGGTCAGGAGTTTGAGACCAGCCAGACCAGCATGGTGAAACCCATTCTATACTAAAAATGCCAAAAATTAGCTGGGCATGGTAGCCCCTGCCTGTAATCCCAGCTACTCAGGAGACTGAGAAAGGAGAATTGCTTGAACCCAAGAGGCGGAGGTTGCAGTAAGCTGGGATTGTGCCACTGCACTCCAGCCTCGGCAGCAGAACAAGACTCTGTCTCGAAAAGAAAAACCCCAAACTCATTAAAATTAAAAAAAACAAAAAAAAAAAAAAAAAAAAGAAACCTAAAACACACACACACACACACACACACACACACACAAACAGAAATCCTGGAACTGAGAAATGCATTTGCTGAACTGAAAAATGCATTAGAGGCTCTTGATAGCAGAATGGATCAAGTAGAGAAAAGAATCAGTGAGTACAAAGACAGAGAATGTGAAAATACGTAGTCAAAGGAGAAAAAAAGAGAAAGAATGAAAACAAATGAAGAATGCCTACAATATGCAGAGAATAACCTCCAAAGAGCAAGTCTATGAGTGATTAGCATTTAAAGGGAGTTGAGAAACAGCAAGGGATAGAAAGATTATTTAAAGAAATAATAACAAAACTTTCCAAACCTAGAGAAAGATATAAATATCCCAGTACAGGAAGGTCAAGAACACCAAATAGATTCAACCCAATTAAGACTACAGGACATGTAATAAACTCTTAAAGGTCAAGGATAAAGAGGATTCTAAAAGCAGCAAGAAAAAATAAGGAAATAACACATAAAGGAGCTCTGGTTTGTCCAGAGACAGCAAACAGTGGAAACCATATAGGCCAGAGGGGAGTGGGACAGCATATTCAAATTGCTGACGGACAAAAATTGCTAAATGAGAATACTGCGTTCAACAAAGCTTTCTCTCAAACATGTAGAAGAGGTAGTCTTTCCCAGACAAACAAAAGCTTAGAGAATTCACCAACACCAGAGGCATCTTACAAGAAATACTAAAGGGAATTCTTTGGTCTGAAAGAATAGGACACTAATGTGCAAAAAGAAAACATTTGAAGGTATAGAACTCACTGGCAAATGTTAAGTATTCAGACAATTTCA